AAGTCCAGTTATCAGAATCACTCTCCTGCTTGCGCCACGACTTGCACACTCACCTGCGACTGTATATTCTTCGACTGGGTCTTGATTCCAGTGGCAAAGAAGTGCCCGAGCGCATGGGCTTCACTTAAAAATCAAAAACTGCATGCTGCTGCTTGGCTATGTGATGGACACGAAAAGACCTTCGTGTCACTCTTGTTCTGTATATAACCCATAGAGTGGGCGGCATAAACACGAAGAAGGATCTGCTTTAACACTTGAGAAGAGGTCCTACACTGTCCTACACCCTTTGGATTTGAAGGACTCTGAGCAATCAGCGGAGAGTCAGAGAAGATGATTCTTCTTCTTAAGTTTACTATTCAAGGATTTTTTCACGGAGAGCGTTTTGATGGAACGTGAGAAGGAGAATAGCTCCAACCAAAGGCTCTTGCAATTGCTTTTCCTAAATCGTGGTCGTTCACAGTCTTAACAAATTAGTCTCACAAGATGTGTTTCATTGCCAGATTCATTTGCAGCAACCCGGATTCCCAGGATATGAGTTCTTGTTAATCTGTCCAGCTTGATGTGCTTTTTGGTTCACAATCGCAATAAACAAAATCATGATGATCATCATCACGATCATCATGACTCATGACCATTCTCATTATCATCCGCCCACAAATGTTTAGGGTTGTGACAATGTAGATGTTCATGTTTTTCGAATCCTTTGACCCCAATAAAGCGATCCCCTATGGATAGACAAGGTACAGATTCAGTGTGCAAGTAGAGTAATGAAGTCTGGACGTCAATTTGGACGCAGGAAAGTCTCATGGATGTGTTGACCAAAACGGGATATGTCAAAACCAACTCCTTTTAGTTCGAAACACTTCGAAACCCATGGCGTCGTAGTTCATTGATTCGGATTCCTGGTGTGCATAGGAAGGGGACGATTCCTCAACAAACATGGTTTTCTGTCACGCCCCACCTCCGTCCAGCGAGCTCGGGTCGGGTCGGTCGCGACCACGAGGAGATCTTCGCCTTGCTCGACCGCGTGGGGGCTCTCGGCTGACTCGCGCGGGTTTCGGGTGACGCGAGACGACGTCTCGGACGGAGGAGAGACGTGTGGGGTCTTGGATTTTGACTGAAAATGCCAGGTCCAGAAGGATTCTTTCCAGAAGGATTGGGATTTGTAAGAAAGAAGAGCCTTTGGTTGAGTTAAGGTTTGACAATTGTATTCTCCAAACAATCCGCGGGGAAATTCCAGTCCTCTCCTATGCCAGTCTGATGGATGCAGATTTGTGAAAGATCCTCGAAGGAGCTGTGTCCCTAAGACTTGGGCTCACAGAGGTACGGGTGGGTCTCCTGGACGGCGAACCTGTGGTAGATCTACTTGATGCATCCGACACCTTAGGAAGCAGGAAGGCTTTTGTGGTGAAAACGGTGATTGGCCCGCAAGACCCTCTACCAATTCTCGAAAAACCCGCTCCGACCCGTTTTCGTCGTCGTTTTGGGCCAATCGGCTCTGCAGCGTCACGGCAGGTGATTTGTCTCTGTCACCAGCGTGCCATCTTTCACGGCCCAGCCACTGAACTGTCCCGCTGGCTGGAGAGGCGCCACCCGACCCCCGGCGCGGGTTGCGCCGCGACTGATGCACCGCAAAGTGGCGAGCGATGCTCTGGAGTCATGGGGGTGGTCAAAAGCTGAAACAGGACCAAATGGATCCAAACGGTTGGGGGGCGGCAATTGATGAGATCCGGCGGTGGTTTTTGCACGCAAACAGACTGGTCAGGTCTTTAGATCTTGGGTTTTTATGAAGCGTGAACATGCGGGGGCGGTTTGGGGCTTCTTCGTTATTAGGAAGATGAGTTTGTCACGGCTCTAACCAAGGTATGGTTGACCTGAAGTGCCGACAAAGGTGTCTCCTGATTTGGGAAGATTCTTCGGTTCACCTTTTCTCCAGGAGACTCTTCTGAAAATCAGAGGAGTTTGAAGCAGAGGATGGAGCTCAAAAGTGTCTCATCATCCCACAAATCGAGAGAAGACGCAGATGAGATGCCTGCGGGGGCTCAACCAGCCCCCTTTTTTCTGCTAAAAAGACGGCAAATTCACCGCGCGGGCCAGTGTTTTGTGAGATGGTACTCTTTACATCAACATGGATTTAGCTCTCTAGCAGAGCCCTCCGACGGCAATTGCACGCCGCTGGCTTCCATCCGCTCAACCCTCGAAAACGCCTTTCGGCACCGCCGGCGACCCGGGACGCTCGCGGCCCGTTCTGCAGGTCTGGAAGACACGTCCCGCGGGATTACAACCCTGCGGACTACGTGCCGTCGGACGACGATCCGCGGGTCGGAACGGGTGGTCCACGGGTCGTTTTTTCCAAGGTGGAACGAAGGTGTGAAGGTTGGTCCATGTCCAATGTGACCTTCTTTTTTTACTTCTTTTTTTCGCAACTGGACATGGTGACATGACATGGGGTGTTCCTGAAAACTGAAGAACTTCACAGTTCCGAGATACACTACTATGATATACTCCATACCAGTTGTTCATGTGTTAGGAGACGGGGACCATTGGCAATCCACCGGGCCCCAGACTCCACGGGGGTTGTCACATGGTGGTGCACACACGGTGGTTCTGGAGGTACTACAAGGGAAACGGCAAAAAGCGTGCGGAAGGGTCTGAGGATCGTTTGTTGACATGGAAGATGTCTTCTATATCATTATAGCCTATGCTTTTCTTCTTACCATCGAATGAGACGGTCGCGCACGGTGTCTTTTTACACTCTCCGCTAAACGCGCGTTTCCCACAGCCACCGGGATCGCGGTGGCCTCCTTGGGATCGCGGCGGCCGCCTGCGGAGCGGTGGTTGAGCCGAGGTGATGTTCCTCATGGAGACTTTGCCGCGCAGCGAGTTGGAGGCTTTGTGCGACAAGAGCCGCGTGAGCCGGGGACTTGCCGGGAAGGGCGGGCAGGGGGATTTGAGTGGCAGTTGGCAGATCTTCTTCAGGAATTGATAAGACTTGAGGAGCAGTCAGATGCCTCGTCCTTGCTTAAGAGCAGTTTTTCGTGGTGAGTGCTGCTTTGGTTTCTGGACATTGGCTCCATTCCGAGCAACAGGCAAGTTTGGTTGGCCTTGTGAACTTTGGTGAACTTTGGGTGTTTTGTTTGTTGGCCCTGTTGGTGTGTCCGCTTGTCGAACATCTCAGCTGCCAGCCTTGAAACTTGGGTTCTGGAGTCCGTCGTTCTGTTCACTCGAGGGTCTCTCAAATCGTGCATGTCTTCTTGAAAAGAGATCAGTCTTTCACCCGAGAAACCACCGTGGTAGCTGGTGAGTTGATTCCTGCTTTGCGATTGAAGTGGAGAAGATGCATTGTCTGGACTCTGGACCAATGTTTGCCCAGAAATCCTCCGGGAGATTCAGGAAGCAGGGTTTCTGGAAGCTCACCAATGGATGTGGGTCAAAACCTACATAGGCCTCTCTCCCTTGTCATAGGTTGACATCCCTGGAAGTCTCTTCCCAAACCGGGGCAACCGACAGTGTGAGACCTCGCGCGCGCCACGCGCCCAGGTCGCGACAGCAGCTTTCGCCCCAGCGCGGATGGAGGGGCAGCGCCCCGGTGAGGATGGCCCAGAGCTGGCGCTTGGATCGCGTGAGCTGGTAGATCTGCAGAAATTGCTTGGGGAAAACGAACAAATCATCGAAACACCGGTCGTGTCCTGAACTCCTAGTCGTAGCCATGAGGCCTTAGCATGTCATAGCCAGCCGACCCAGGGTAGATGTCCCAAAGGTAGGCTGGGTATGACATGTGTATGACCTTTGGTAACCCAGGGTATTAACCTATGACATGTGTGTTGACCCAACACCCCAGGGTATGAACCCTCCCCAAACCCAGATGTCCCTTGGAGGTCTGACAACCAAAACGCCGTTCGCTCCTCGGACGGGTCCAGACGGGTCCAGACGGGTCAGGCTGGATCCCTCGAAGATGCGGAAGTCCTTTGGGCTGCAGGCGACGACGCCAGGAACGACCACTCACGCCGACCCCGACGGGCGACCCGCGTCCGATGCCGACCCCGCTCCTCGGTGCGGTTCGGGGCCAGGTCTGGTGCCTCACTCAGAGGGAGTGGCGTAACTTGAGGACCGGCCCGGCTGGGCTGAAGGGCTGGGGGGGGGGGGGAGCAGATTTGATGTGACGTGAAGAATCTACCCTACCAGCAGTCACAAAGGGGTGCTTAGTGGAGGTTAGGGGTGGCCCATGATCCACTTACTTGGGGACTAAACACCACCCCTTCGTGACTTCTGGTATATGTTATTTTTTTGGGGGGTGCTCGTAGGTCTTCGTGTAGGTCTGCGTCGCGCGCCTGCGCAACGTGATGTTTTTTTTCACAATCTGGCCTTCAGCGACCGAAAGAGGGAGTGCCATTCGATGTAAGGCGTTGAGTTTAGCAAAGTAAATGAAATCAAGTTGAACAACTGTCTTGGGACCCCCTAGTTCCGCAGAGCTTCGCCTGCACCGAAGCAGATGTGCGACGCTGGCACCGAAGCACTGGGTGGCCCATCTCCGACGTTGGCACCTCCACCCATTTGGCCGAGTTCTAAGCCGTTGCCGGGTGCCACGTCAGCCAGCTGATGCGTCAGCCAGCATCGCTGCGGAACCCCCGGCACCCGCACGGTTTCGGCGGAACCTCCAAGGGTGAGGTGGCAGAAGATGGAACGAATTCGCAGCGTGACCGGCGTGTGGTGGTTTGATGCGTGTTCTTCAGCTTGCTTGATGAGTGGGTGTGTGACGGTGTGTGGGTGTGTGGGTGTGTGGGTTGGCAGGCGAGATAGTGCCTCGTTGAAGCCCGGGGTGCCCAGCGGCGGGCGCACAGGAGGGGTTGTGCGGACAGGGTGGATGTGCCAGCGAATTTCGCTGGCGATTTCGCCTGACACTTGATCTTTGGTTGAAGCGAGTTCCAAGCTCAACCAACAAATGCAGCAGGTCAGCAAGAGGGACAGCATCAAGCACTGCGCTTGCAAAGGTTCCCAAGATGCTTGGCACCTTGTGGAGGCGAAACCCGTCACTGCTGGACCTCCCCCCTTTCGATGCTGTCACTGCCCTGCTCGGCTGAGGCTCCGCTTCGTGCTGACGGCCTTTCTCACTATCCTCTTTTCTCTGGTGGGCTTGGTAGAGGGCCGGTGGGGCATGAAACAGAAAACGTCCATGGAAGCATTGGTTGTTTGACTAGAAATTTGCAACACATCCGAAACACCTTCTTGTTTAGCGTTCATGGATGTTGATGGTGCTTTCTATAGTACTCACCTGCTGCAGGAAGTTTTTGTGCAGTACTAGTAGCCGGGGCAGCTTTCAAAGAATTTTGCTGGAGAGGAACACAAAAGGGCCAGGGGAGCCTTCAGAAAAGTAGACCACCAAACTGCCGAGCCTTCGAAAACTGCTGAGCTCGGTTGTAACTGCTGAGCTCGGTTGTCATGTTTTTTCCCGTGGGCTGCTGAAGTCATGCCAAAACCGGTCATCGCAGGTCTTCTCGGCTGTGGGAGAGCACCCCATTTTGCAGCGGCTGCGGCGGAAAGGCCTGGGACGTTCTCGGGGTGACGGCCACATGGCAGGTGCACAGGGTGTTACTCATGCATGTGTTCATTCGTGTTGCAAGAGGACATGGGATCAAAAGCTACGCCACCTTGGAATTGAGAGTTGAACTGGATCAAAAATGATCAAAATCGCCAAGCTCCATTGTCACCACTCACTTGGTCTTCTAAGAAGATTTCACGTGTTGTGCGATCAACTTTGTCTGCGTTCTAGGCGTTTTCCATGAGTCAAAGTCTTGACCGATTGGGCACGACTCCTTTGGGGCTGTTCGTCATCAACGAGTTCAACGAGTTCGTAATCCTCCCCAAGGATTCAAGCAGATGAACCAAGCCATCATCACCACGGATTGCAGATCCCTCTTTGACCTAGTCACTAGAAATGCAATTGCGTCGTGTGAAGAATTTCGTACGACCTTGGAAGTTTTGTTGATCAGGGAGCGCTGTGCCGAACATGTTCATTTGCCGCAAGAAGGATGCTGAGGCTCAAGCGGCACAGATTGCCCTAGAAGCAGGACTCTACTCAGCATGAACACATGGAATGATGGTGTCGAAGATCCTTTCACAGAGCCCTTTTGCGCGGCGGGTGCCACAGAGACCGCGGCAGGGTATGCGAGGAATCACGTCTTTGCCGATTCGCCGGAGCTCAATGAACCTTCTCTCGATGAGATGAGCCCAGAAGCACTGGAGAACCTCTGGCGATCTGCGCGCAGCGACGCTGAGGAATGCGAAGAGCGGCTCATTGCATATCTCAAGCAGGAGCACAAGCAGACCGTCGAGAGGACCGAGCAACTTGGGATGGAGATTAAGAACCAGGATCGTCTTATAAAGGATATGAAGGCCCAAATCAATGAACTGAGAAGCAGGCAACCAGTTGTGCAAGCTGCGATCCAAAAGCTCAAGAAGGACAAAGAAGCCTTAGAACGAGACCTGGAGAGGAGCAACGCAAGCGCTGCAAGACAGAATCGGGAGGCACATCTTCCACCATGCATTCTCATTGTGAATAGACATTTAGAGGGAGATCCAGGCTACATGAGCGTCCAAAAAGATGTCATGGTGGTGGCCACGCACTTTGAGGATGGCTTCTACTATGGCTATGAGATGAACCGGCCGACTCATAATAAAGGCTGGTTTCCCATGGCGGCCACCAGTGTCCCGCCGACCATCGAAGAATGTTGACATGCCCGAAGGGTCGGAGACCGACCCTTCCGACCGACGCCGAAGAGAAAAAACATGGCCGTTGGATGACCATCCGTTGGAATTCGCATGGCCGCATGGCCTGATTTCGGATGACCCGGCGTATGAATACACCATTTCGGTGGTGTGTTTTCACTCCACTAACCCAAGGAGTGTCTTTGTTGACCGAGCAAGGGCTGGTCGTCGGGTACGTTGGAGTCGAGCGACCTGGTGGAAAGGCTTCGTTTGGGCTTAGGGAGCATACGTTCGGAACCAAGGGCATCGCGACTCGAACGGAGCGATCGGACGCTACGAGTTCCGGGGCTCCTGGCCATACTACTATAGTAACACGGAGCTACTAGTTTTAATACTGGACGGCTATTTTGCACTTACAAATCGACAACTCTTGGGGCAAGCCGGGCAAGCTGAACATCTACTCGTGGTTTCAGGGGGGTTGGTGGAGAACTGAGGACTGCCCGGAAGCTGGAAGGGTTGTAGTCAGCTTGTGAATCATTGTGTATCATCTACCAGGGTGTCTCATAATAAAGTCTTAGAGGTGTTTAGGGGTGTCCATTGGTGTCCATTGTATAACCACCCCCTAGGGGGGCCTGGTATCTCTTAATTCTTTTGAGATCGGTTTAGGCTTGGGGCCAAACACATTGCAACCTCTGGGACCGTTTGTCTGAATATTGGAGCCATTGGACAAAATGGCCTGAAATGGATGCATTCAGACGGTCAAGGAGCTATCCAACACCGGACATTTTTACTTGAAGCCCATGTTTGATCAGACATTCAAGTGGCGACAGGCGGCTATGGCTTGTGGGTTAGCTAGGGAAGCCTCAGGTGGTTGGGTCTATGGTTGAGACTCTGGATGGATGCTCCAGGTCATCTTCGGATTCGTCACCCCAGCGTCGCCCCAGGGCCCTTGCATTCGCTCCTGGTGCACCCCAAGCTACGGCGAGTGCAGCGACTCGGCACCGGTTGACTCACACCATTCGCAGGTTTCTTCATCGGTTTTGGATCTTCGAGGCCAAAGATCTTTGACAGTTTTTTGCTCTATTTTTTTGGGGGGGTCTCTTTCTGTCCATAGTTTAGGCATGTTTAGGCCTTCTTTCTTTTCTGCTGTCGGGTTATTCTCATCTCTTCCGTTCTCCTGGCACAGGGATGTTTTTTTTTACTGTAAGTTCCCCTCCCGAGTGTGCACAATGTACACCTTCAAAGACTCGGTCCGCATGACACACGGTCGGTTTCTTGCCAGAGCTTAATAAGGCACATCAGGTCCCATACCAATCTCAAGACCATACTTAGCTAAAAGAGTTCACCATAGTTCACCCGTTCTTGGGATGAACCCCACAAACTAAACCTGGATCTTTCTGACCTAGTCGCAGCGTCTGGATCGTTGAGGCGCTTGGTCTATGCAAATGAAGTGACCTTGTTGCAACAGCTGCAGCAAGAGATCGAGTACCACTACAAGGTGCCCAACGGCGTACACTCCGACGAACACATCACATGGAAATGGAACTCCCCATGTTTGTAAAGGAAAGTCTTCCAAGGGACCACTTTCCACTGAGTCAGAGTGTATCTGCTGCTTCCGTCCACCGAAGGGATCGACCGGATAGACTTGATCCTTTTCCCTTGATCGTTTTCCGCAAGGTGCCCTTCTCCTAATAACAAGGGTGGGCATGTTTGTCCAATGCATCGCGTTTGATTGGGATCTGGTCGGGTTTTTTGGTGCCAGAGGGATTGAGCTTCCCCCACCTGTTAGATTTTGGTGTAAGTATTACAGTATTTTCCTTCTTCTTCTTCTTCTTCGCCTCCTCCTGCTTTTCGCAACCGTGGGCACGTTTCTGAAACGGGTCCTCGGGTCCCTCGCGTCGTGCCGCCGGCAGTGCCGACGTTCCCGTTCCCATCTTGTTCTCGTGGGCGTCGGCTTCGGTTTGGTGCGTCCGCAGCAGATGCACTGGTAATCCAAGGTGAAGTGGTTCGGCAGTGGTGGAAAACACCCCGATACAAGCACTGTAAACACCCCTGCTGCTATCCGAACGTTCAGATGGGCACGATACTGCTGAAGGAAGAAACAAGCAAGACAGAGCGAGGAATAGGCCGAGGAATACGCCAAAATTATATACTCTGGGTTTGGACTACGAAGAAAGAACTTCTTTCCAGCATCATTGGAAGATGTTGACGAGACATCCCCGGTGAATCTTCTTAGAGTTTCCCGTTTGGGAACGTTTCTCCAACTCCCACCTGACAAATATTCCTGGAAGTGGTTAAAACCATCCACCACAATGAATGTTGATCAATTTGCACAAGTTTGGGGCACTCCCAAATGGCTGGTGGGAGCTATGCATGCTACGCTTTGTCTGCTACAAACGTAGGAGCTTCTGCCAAAAAGACCAGAAAACCGCTTCATCCCAGCTGACAAAAAGAACACATGTCCAGCCTGACCACCCTCTCCGCAGGAAGTTGATCATGTTCTCAAGTCCAACAAGAAGCTATACTAGTAACTAGTAGCTCCTGGCATTACTACGAGCAGCAAGAAGCTACTAGGGTGGAGGCCATCGCTAGTAGGTGGATGCCCATCGTCACCTCTACGATCCACATCCTTTTTCCTGTTTTCGGAGTCATCGAAGCGATGAAGCGATTCGGATCTTTCAGGCGAACCCCCGTCGGTGCGGGCGGGTGGGAAGGCGTGGCGCCTTGCCTTGTGTGCCCCATGAAAGCTGGGTCCTACAGGACCGGGCTTTGCCATTCGTTTCGCCGCCAACAGACTCAGTACAACTACAACCCACGGCAGACAGGGGCGCAAGTTCTCGCAGATGCGCGCTCCTGGCGTAGAACGCGGCACCGCTTCGCCGCTGCCGTGGCACCGTGACGTGGCACCGTGCCGCAGGCGGTGGTGCAAGTGGGCTTCACGGCGATGTTCAGTGTGCCTTCGTTTTGGAGGGAAAACGGTCGGCAATCAGGGAGGCCTTCGGGTTGGGGGGAGGTTATAGTTCTTTTTTGGGTGTGTGGGTGTAGGTATGGATGCAAAACAGATGCAGACATGGGAATGTGCTTATCATGGATGATAAAGAGGGTTGTGTCGGGGATATGTTGTAGATCACATGGGATGGCTTTTGAGCTGTACCAGGACTCCCTCAGAGGTGTCTAATGATGGCCTGTTAGAGGTTTTCCATGGTGTTCAGAAACCACCCCTGGCCGGTGGCCTAGTAAACAGACTGGTGAAAAGAGCGCCAGCTGAGGGTTGTTACGAAACGGTGTTCCTTTGGCCTTTCCCACATCAGCACACGCTTTGGAGTCTAACTCAGTCACCCAAAGAACAAGGAACGACGCCAGCGTCATGGGTCCGAGGCGTCGCAACCCACGATCTTGAGCTTTCCCTTGGAGCGCCCGGTCTTCCTGCGGGAGTACTCCTCCAACATGCGCCCAGTCGCGAAAAGCTCTGAAGTGGTGAAAACGACAGTTTTTACTGGTGGGGCAAGGGGAAGGGCTTGTGGCGAGGACCGTTGGAAGTTTTTAGGGTACAGAGTGTTTAGTGAGACTTTTGGGGTGTGTTTATTTTTCGAGAGGAGCTCAGAACAGCAAAGAAAGAAACAGTTGTTCAAGAGTTATGAGGTTCCTGACATTTGAGAGGGGATCAACTTTCCCTTGACCTCGCTTTACTCGGGTGTGTCTCAACACCTCAACATGTATTCCCATTCCAGTATGCCACGAGCTGTTCTGAATTCATGTCCACCTTTCAGAAGTTCCTCAGTTTTTGATCAGACAGCTATGGCCATGGCGGACGACCTCTTACCCACGAACTGGACCCCTTGTCAGCCGTGTCACCGGCGCCGGGACGCCGCATCGACGCTGCCAGGTATGGGACCTTAGCTTATTTCCTCTCAAAGATGCTAGTAGAGGCGTCGCGCAGCTCGCTTTCGCAGCAAGCGCGAGCTTGCGCGGCTTTTTTTGCACGCTTTTGGTTGGTTGGTGGAGCGTTCACGATCCAAGAAATGGTCGTTTTTTTTGAACACTGGTAGGATGTCTGTATGTATGTGTATGTCTTTCTTTTTCAGAGTCTTCAGTCAATCAACCAGACGAAAGAAAGTAGAAGAGAAGAGACCTGGCAGCTTGGTAGGCATCCAAAACAGTCATGAATCGATCGTGCCCACTGGGAGCCGGGCTTTCTCTTTTTTCCACCGCTTTTTTCACCGGAGCGCACGCGGCTCGGCGCCGAGCGAAGAGGTGCCACTGGGAGCCGGGCAAGCTCTGCTGGCCTTGAGCATCTCTCACCATTTCATGAGGCCCGGGATTCGTCGCATCGGGGTGGATCGACGTGGATCTCGCTCGCACGATCTCGCTCGGTGTGTTCGGTGTGTTCGGCGTGGTGAAGACGCGATGTTCGGTGAGGGTCTGTGGGGTCCAGCAGACATCCCAGTGGTGAGTGAGTGAGGTGCTCGGGAACTGGAAAGGAGTCATCCCAGTTTTGCCAACAAGCACCAATGAAACGAGGCACCAAACAGGAAAACTAGGCCGAGTAATGTCTCAACATCTTGGAGAGTAAACATAGTAAACTGCTTCGATGACTGTTGAGCAAATCCTAGCAGAAGGTGATTTGAAGTATTGACCTTCAAGGATCCTTACAAGGTTGAGACAGGCCCCTGATGTATTTCGTTGTCTTTTTTTTTGCGCGCACGCAGCATGCATGCAGCATGCATGCAGCATGCATGCATGAGGTTTCAGGGCGAGTTCTGCGAGATGTGGGCGACGGCCCGGGACGCCGAGAACGGGATCGTGTGAAAGAGTTGGGAGGACTGCGGGAAGCTAGGGCACACATGCTGACGTGCCATTGTGTGGGATTTGTTGGTGGATCACATGCAGGTGGTCACTGACCCAATTTCTGGACTGCATAATGTAGACTCTTGATTGATAAACCCCCCATTTGAAGTGGAATATCCTCTTCACAGGGGGAGTTTATTAATCAAGAGTCTACATTACACTGTCTTCCTGCTGCCTGAATGGCCTCTTTCAGTGCCAGAGGGCGCAAGCTTTGGAGAGCTGGGCTCTAACAAACCCGACACATAGCTGACGAAACTTCCTCAGCGGTGAAACAGCGCCGATGTCACAATCATCCAAGTTTGGTGAAATGTATGTGTTGTGGGTTTATGCCATCAGACCCCTGAAACCACTGTAGATTCTGCCTGGTCTGCCTAGGTCTGCCTGCTGAACGCCTGTGCCGTCTCCTTCTCTCTCTTGATCGGCTGTCCGGACTGCCCAGAGCGAAACCGACCGGGCTCGTCGCTCCGGTCGGCCGTCGGCTGTCCGGACTGACCGGACTCTGGGGATGAAAGACAGGGATCTCCACAAGCTGGACCATAGAGCTGCCTCTTGGTGGGAACTCCGCGTAGCTTGTAAACCCTCTGCTCTGCTGTCTCTCTGTTGAACTTTGAGCAGAGTTTTTCAACAGTTGCTGATTTGTGAGGGGTTTCCACCACGGAACCCGGTGTAGAAGCCACTATGTACTCTCTATGAAGGTCAATGAGTCAATGGTTGACCAGTGCTGAAGGAAGGCCATTCGAAGTGTTTCCTTGGATTATCAATTAAGGTATACGTTATAAGTTTGTTATAGTCCAAAGCCAACAACTCGAACACTGCAATCAGTCATATTGCTCCATCTAAAACACTACATGCTAGTGACGCCAGCTACTGTTGCCCACAGTACAAGCCGTTGTTCTGGGTCTGGCACCGTCACCTTGAACTCGCAGTCGGCCTCGCGTCTCTGTCTCCAGACGAACGGGTGCGGAACGAAGTCTCCCTTCGAAGAGGCAAAGGTGCTCTCCGGATTTGAAGCAACGCTTTTCTTCCACCCCCTCGCAACTCATCTCCCCGCCAGAGAGAGTGATTCTCCGGGCCGAGACCGCTCCAGCGACGGCCGGGGCGGGGTTTCCTGCTAAGCGGTTCCGCCGGTCTAGGCCTGGTGCGCTATCCTCGCGAGAGTGGTGCCATTGGCCCGTTGGTCTTCGTGCCGCAGCTCTTAATGTCAGGCTCTGGGCTTTGCCAGTGACGGACTCGAGGAGTGGAGGGAGGAGGTGGAGTCGATCAATTCAGAAGCATTGAGAGGAGTTTTTCTAGGAGGAGTCATTGATTCGGTTGCCGGCTCTCACTTGATCATTTGATTTTTTCATTCCCATTGGGTCAGGTGGGTCAGGAGGAAGAACTGCCCCCCCCCCCCCCCGTAACGGACGGCAGACAGCGGTCCCTGAAGCAGAGCCGAAAGCCGATTCAAGCGGCTCCAAAGGCGGCAGACCTAACACTGTCCCCCAAGACCTAACAAAAGTCCTAAGACCCTAAGACCTAACAGTGTCTTCCAATTTTTTTGTCACAAAACAATAAAGTTATCATGTTCTATCATGTTATCACGACTGCATTCACGCAGGCCCCAGGCTAGCCGTCTAGCCTTTGATTGCCTGCGGTGGCTGGTTTTTCTGTGGACCCTGGGGGAGTCCAAGACCAAGTCCAAGACTATTTTTGAAGATGGTTGACCTGGGGGTTGTAGTGTCATATCATCCTTAAAGTAAAATCAATGTAACAATTGTGTGTGGGTGTGTTTCATTTTTTCAACACAATTTGAATCAAGGGGCCAGGAAGAAGCCATAGGTATCGACGTCGGTTTCTTTCAGATTCATGTAGACTCAGACTTCCTCGCGAAGACGTCGAACAACTTCCTCGCGACCGTTGGTCCCGTCGGCGTCGCGTGGTCCCGTCGGCGTCGCGTGCCTCAGGGACCTTCATCCCGGTCCAGGCAATCCCGCAGTTCCTGCGGTGGATGCAGTACGTGAGCTTCCTTCAGCGGCTTGGCCGCTGAGAAGATGAAGCAACCCTAGTCAGGATCGTAAGGGAGATGAACATGTCTTTCTTCTGGGGGTATTATGTTCTCTTAGAAGATGTATTGATGTATGGCGAGGCTGTTGAATCCTTTATCGAATCATAGCCTGCTCTAGTCTGCTTGGGCTCATGACAGAACCAGCTGCACGGGTGACACGACCGTTCGGCTTTCGACCGCCCTTCCAGAGCCGCTGTGTGCAAGAAAACCGAGGTTCACACAGGCCATGTCCTCGTGCCGTGCCCTGTCAGTCTGGGACTGGTGGGATTCTCACTTCCTCTCCCAGGTATGCTGTGAAGCTCCTGGCCATCGTCGAGTTCCGAAGGCTGGACCACAGTTCGCGGTTGGCAGGGTGGCTGGGTGCGGTTGGCGGAAAGGAAGAACCGAAGGAAACCAATGGCATCCGCATCTTTTTCTTCTTGGTGGGTTGGTCAGACCCTGGATTTAAGGGTGACGACTGGGGTGGGTCGCTGGGTGACGACGTTCTTGGAGTCCGTCTTCGGAACCCAGGTTGTGAGGTGTTTTTCTGCGAAGCACCTCAACCTGGATCGACCTCACCTCGAGCTCGGCAGGACCGACCCGATGCTTCAGAGGCTCATCTTCCGGACCATGGAGGCCCGCCGCTGGGGGGGGCGAGGGAGGCTTCGAACAGCTTCCCATCGAAGCAGAGGATCTGAAGATCGTGTTGAAGGTGTTGTAAGGTTGAATTCAGCATGTCTGGAGCTTTGGACTTCGGATGACTTTGGAGGCTTTCTTTTTAAATCTTTTTGCTTGCCGGTGCGACTCAAGACGAACCCCCCCCAAACGTGGCGACAAGCTGTAATCGTCTCAACAGAGAGGGTTTGGAACCCAGAAATTTGGGTGACACATGTTGGAGGGCAATTACCTTTGCAAAACCCATCGGTCAACAATGTTTCGTCTGCATGGAGGATGTCGATGGCTGACCCATCAAAAAGCCCGACTGACTTTCCTGCATGTGCAGATACGTTGTTGACGCCGGCTATTTTGATCCCTGGGGGCCGGGTTTGATGGTAGGACGCCATTTGGATCCCCGTGCGAATAACCATTCCAAAATGCAGGGCCTTGAGGCCCTATATGAGGGGTCATTTTGTAGTGCCCAGCCCTGAAATCGGGTAATACATGCCCAACTCACTGTGTGACTGATGTGATATGAGGTTGAGGCCACCATTTTGTAAGGATTTGTAAGTAAGAATCTGGGGTAGTGGGCCTATCAGGGGCTTACAAAAAGATGTTGAGGCCGCTAGTTTGTAGCGATATCATCCTGGAGCAGGACTACAGAATGATCCAGGCTATTTGATTGTGTAGTAGAAGGCAATTGTTCATGGACAGGAATCACATTTTGCAGTCTGTGAGCAATTTAGGCATTGGAATAGGACGTTACAACATGACCTAAGGTATATGCATTTTGTAACCTTATGAGCTCCACTGTATGGACAAGCATGTCATTTTGTAATCTGTGAGCCATTTCGGGACTGGAACAGCACATAGCAGAAAGACCTGAGGTATAGCAATTTTGTAACAAAAGTTGACGGAAAGCTTCCGTATGGCCGGAGATTGTTCGGAAAGTTGCACATTGTCTCCGACAGACATATCGATTTGAGGTTGAGTCCATTCATTTTGTAGTGAGCATATTTTCCAGAGCTCATTGAAGCCCTGTACACAATGATGTCATGTACTTCATTTTGTAATGACCAAACTAAAATTTTGTATGTCGGACAGGCCTTTCTGTAGGACAAGAATACTTTTTTGCTACAAAATGCCTGACACAACCTCAACCCCTGAATTCGTACGGGGATCCATTTGGAACAGTCTTGCCTTTAAATGATGCTAGTTTGCCTTGAGATTGGTCTTTCAATTTGAAACAAGTCTTTCCGAGAAAGCCTCCACCGGCCTCCAGTGGCCGCTCTCCCCATTTCCAGTTGCTCCATGGCCTTCCAGTGCCGATCTGCCCGACGTGACTCCCAGGTGGACCCGGAGTTGACGAGGGTCTATGTGACGACCTTGCTTTCGATGCCGCTTGACGTTTGGAAGCGGCTTCTTTGGGTAGTTGGGTAGTGGAGATTCGGGTGGAGAACAGGGGTAGTGGCCGGACATGGGTCATGGTGACGGGTGTGGAACCCTACGCCAGAAATATGGTGGAAGAGCAAGAGTCAAGTTGGGCCAAAGCAAACACCCCAAACTCCCAAGGATCGGCGAAGATTTGCGTGGGACGAGGGACTCGCCCTCCATGGCCAAACAACGCGAAGAGTTCACGACGGACGGTACGGACGCTTCCCAAACCGCTTCGGAAAAACAAGGGACGCCAGGGCAACAGCAATCTTGTCTTTTGAGCCATAGTGACTTCGGAGCAGATTCCTTACCAAGCTGGTGAGGAAACCTCCGGAAGGGCCTATGATATCTTTCCGCCGGAACATCGATTCCACAGAACGAAGCAGACGCGACACCTTCTTCGATGCGTCACCTCGATGCGTGTCTTCTTCGATGCTTTCGCGGTGTTCGATGCTTCGATCAGGTGTTTGGCCTTCGCGCTCTTGGCGATCAAGCTCTTGCATGGGAAGGCGCACAGCGTCTACTGAGGCGCAAAGAACCAGGCCGGATGGGGTGGGTTGGATGAGGTCTCTGACTGAGGGATCGGTTTAAGCTAGAGGATCGGAACATGTGAGATCCTGATATCTGAAGGATCTGCTATCGGTGAATGCATGAATCGAACATGGATCTTGGCAGAATTATTTTAGTTGCAGAACATCTCAGTCTGACTGAGTTCTGAGGTGAAGTCTTCCATCGAACAATCAGGTGAAATTGGGGGTTCTCTTATTGTGCCAAGGCCGTCTTTGATTTAATTGCAGTACAAATGCGATACACATCCCAGAAAAACCCGACACTACAACTCCGGCAGGCTGGCTGCACGAGGTTTCCAATCACCAGGTTTCCGATCATCTCCGATCCGTCGCCCGAAGCGGCAGGGAGACCCCATGGTGGAGAGAAGCGCCGATGTGAGAGGAGGTGTCCACGTCTGTTCCGTGCGGAGAAAAGAGGCGGTAGACTTGGACAAAGCCTCACCGGTGGAAGGTTTGTTGGACTCGGTGGCCAAATGGGCGAAGGACACGTGGTATTTGGGGCGCCGAGTTTTTGTTGCCAGTCTGCAAGTGATGCAGCGTGTATATTCCTATTCCAAGGATCTTATCCTTGGCACTTCCTCTGGTGGTCTCTCATCCCCCATGAGGCTGTGTCAAGTTTTTTCTAAATCGCTTCCAGATCGTCACCAGACCAGGCAGACCAGGCAGACTGGGATATTGATGAGTACATATTGTTTCTGCTCCCTGGGTCGGCCATCTTCACAGTCGTTGATGTATACCGTAGAGCCTGAAAAGTAACTGCGCCGCCAACCCGCCTTGCCGGGATGGTATTTCCTCCTGGTTTGCACGAAGACTTCTCGTTCGCTTCGGCACTTACCTCGCGGAGTGCTTTCTGGACAGACGCGTGGACCGGACTGGACCGAACCGGGAATTCCACTGCTCAAAAAGCGCTCTGAAGAAGACACAGAGTCCGCGACTCGAACGGAGCATTTCGGGCATCGCGACTCGAACGGAGCGATCGGACGCTACGAGTTCCGGGGCTCCTGGCCTTACTACGAACGGAGCAAGAAGCTTCTACTAGCTTCTATTGTTTCTACTAGCTTCTTGTTACTACTAGTAAGGCACTTGTTACTACTAGCGATGCACTTGTTACTACTAGAAATAAGAACCTATACATAAATACGTCCATAGATGTGAAACGTGATCTCTTTCTCTCCCCTGACTTGTACTTCCGCAGCACACGTTACGGAAGTACAGGCGTGCGATGACAGCATTCGTGGACTCTTCGACGCATAGGTTTTCGGACTCTTCGTCTTCGTCTTCAGTTCCTCCCTTGCTTTGTTCTCAGTCGTCTTTGAAAGACCCATTCTTCTTGACATTTATGCAGTCCATCCACTTTGTCTTGTGCTTCACTTTGTCTTCAGGACGTGACTAAGTAGATCAACTCGATCAAAGATGCAACTCAACTTGACACGGTGATAATAGAACCAAACCATACCACACCTTAGGCGAATCCAAGACCCCACAAAACCTATTTCTCTGTAGAACCCAACAATCACACGTCAGAAATCCTGGCCGTCAGAATTTCAGATATTATCAGATATTTAAGGAACACCCAGCCGAGTTAAGAGAGCCACCAAGTTGAATAATTTCAGAAATTTAGAAATTGTTGATGTCCGATCTTCCGTCAAACGATGTAAACAAGTAAAGTTTTTCAGAAATTGTTAATCTCCGAATTTTTCGCCAAGCGATGTAAAAAAGTGAAGGTTTTCCAGAAATTGTTTTTTTTTGAATTTCCGCCAAACTATGTAAAACGTAATTTCCGACAAGCCTTGAAACCCTCTTACAGACTGTAGCTCTTGGATTCACCCAAACCACACCTACCCTTTTTCATAGAAATCAGACTTACTAAGCCTTCATGTGTTGGGGGTGTCTATTGGGGGTGGGGGGGGGTCTCCATAGTTATTTCTAAGACTTTTGGGATCATGGATGAAGCTCGACAGACATCTTGGACGGCCCTGCAGCTGCGGCTGAAACGCACGAGCAGTCCACCGCGGGCGCGGTTTGTGGGACGTCCGTGCGGAGTGGGGGGACGCCGAGGCGCCTGGGATGTGCGGGGGTTTCAATGGACGACTGGGCCTGGTGTGCGAACTGGCACGCAGAGTGGTGAATGGGGTGAGTGGTGATCATAGCAAGTATCACAGCACCATCCGTAGTATGTGTGAGGAAAAGAAGAAGTGCTGGAATTCGAAGGAGCTTCGTTCGATAGAAGTCCTTCTGACTTCGGATTGCATCCTTGGACTGTTGACCGGGTGTTGCTTTGGAGCAGCGGATGTGGCGTGCAGTGCAGGTTCAGCAGCGGGCCTCCAGGTCTCCCGAGCATCGGCAGATGCTCTGCATATTCCCGGATCCAATCACATCCAACAATCGATCTGGCTGGAAATACTAATGGATCCCCACCCCTGACACCTCAAATGATTTGGCTGATAATTTCCATACTTCGGATCTGAAGCTTCATTAGTGAGAAGAAAATTGAGGACCTCCGGAACCGGACTTGTGTTTGTGACGGACCTGGGCTTAGAGCTGACTGCAGGGCCTTCTTGGCAACAGCGAATGCTGGTGAGAGCCTCAGTCTATGGGAGCGGCAAACATTTCATGCACCACGCCAGATGAATGCCCTCATTAGAAATATAGTGTGACATGGATGAGTTCGCAGATTTCTATAGGTCTTGTTTGGAGAACCTTTCTATCGACATCTGAGAACTTTCTTTGTCCTGCGCGGTTTGTTTCAACACATGCCCTTCAAGAACTACTTGAATGAACGCCGATGTGCCCCTAAATACAGGAGGAACTACGACTCCGGACAATCCATTGGGGGGGTGGGCAGATTCTTTTGTTGCCAGCTGGTGTCACACACGGTCTCTTCGGTTGTTCACACACCATGGTCTCTTCCAGCTGCCACCGACACTCCCCACCTTGGTCTAGCACGGCCACTGACGGGTGACGGTCACTGACTAAATCAGCCATTGGGCCCGTGAAGCTTTTCAGGGTGCCATGCAGCGGTGTCGTTGTTTTTCTTTTTAAAATGTTGTGTGGGGACGGATCCATTAGACAATGAATACCATGGACACCAGGCGTGAGGCAAAGAATAAGTGGACGATGAGTCAGACGGATCGAGACGGTCTGGGCAAGTGGCCCTGCTCTTCCGATGACTCCGAAACAACACAAGCTCGATCGAGTGGGTGAGTTGGTCAGGCCGGGATGTGATCGATCGAGCTTTCTATAGACTTTGCGGGCTGCTCACTAAACGTCAACAGGGACGTTGTGAAAGTCGACGTGTCTAAGAAGGGACAACCAGATGATTAGGGGAAACACCAAGGCTTCCACCTGTACCGCTCTGTGGTTGTGTTTTGGCATGTGATTTGCTTTAGGGGCTAGTGTCATGCGCTTAGCAGTTCGAGAGAGGACCTGACAGTGAAATCCTGGAAGATACTGGAAGTGATTTCGCTCCCACCTCACAGGTTGATTTATTTTTTTTGTATCTTGATAACTTCGAAGACAAACATTAAGGAGCATGCCGCATGCCCTCAGAGGATCCCCCCCAAGCCTGCTTTCCTGGTGCCAGGCATGAGGGTGAGTCTGATCACACCGCCCAAATCTGTAGGGCCGGGGGCCTGGAGAAGGCCGTTTTTCTTCAAAGACTGGGTAGATGAAAGGCATTGAGCTGGGCAAGTCATTTCGGGGAATATGGACGGATGGTCCATACGCCACTTACACTATCTCCAAGATTGTTATTATTATGATCTATTATGGGAATATGGACTCCATGGCCTTCAAAAGCACCATGGCCTTCAAAAGCACATGCCTGGGAAGCTGACTTCTTCTAAAGCAATTGTGTTCCCTGGATGAACCATATTCATTCCCTGGATGGATTGATGTTCGATACATTTTGATACCCAACGATACCCAACGAGCCAGGGTTGGCCCGCTGTGCAGGGTGGAAGGGCGGGAAGGGCTTTCTTCCGTCGAACCAAGGCACTCCCCACACCGTAGCGACGTCTTAAGTGGCTCATGTGGCATACTCCATCATGAAGCTCACCTATCAAGGAAGGGAGATCTTGAGAAAGCACTTTCACTGACCTCACGCCAGTGGTGGAGAAGAAATGCTGCTTACAAAGAAGCCCTCGCCTGTCAGCTTCACCTCCTCTACAGCTGTTGCCAGATTTGTCCCGAAACACTCCGGCATACTCCGGCACTTGAGTGGTCCTAGACGGATTCCTCTGCCCCTTGCGGTTGTCCTTGTTTGGGGACCGAATCCACCACGCTAGCTGCACTGCGATGCATGATTTTTGAGACACAGCAGTTGCCGTGAGATGGTGTTTCGATGTGTTCATCCAGGGTAGCAGATCGAATTCCCTTAGGAACAAGTGCCACGCTAGTAGTAACAGGTGCCTTACTAGTAGTAACAAGAAGCTACCAGGAACAAGTGCATCGCTAGTAGTAACAAGTGCCTTACTAGTAGTAACAAGAAGCTATTAGAAACAAGTGCCACGCTACTAGTAACAAGTGCCACGCTACTAGTATCGAACTCCCAGTCTCCCGTGTTCCGAGTTCGGAAGCGCCTCGCGCACAAGATGCCGAGGCCAACCAGAGCTCGCCCGAGCCCCTTCAAGGTGCATGACAAGGGCTGCGGGGGTTTCAGCAGAAAACCTTTGGACACATGCCAGGCATCAGTGTATCTGCCATTCCTAGATGGCGTTTTATGTGTTTTATATGGCTTCTTCTTCATTTTCCTGCCCAAAACTGTTGTTAGGCCCGACCAAACCTTCGTGGTTGTCGGTGGTTTTGCCTGTAGGACCAGAGTTGTCGGGGTCTCTTCAGGACCAGAGCGGTCGGGACTTGGTGGGATCTCCTGTTTTGAAAATTTGGAAAGGGAACGTGGTCTTCCAAAGGGACCACTGAGAACATCTCCATTCGCAGCACTCAACATCGAAGTTGTTCCCACGACATCTCTCCATGTGCCGACTTGCAGAACTGCAGAACTGTGGGTCGGCTTCCAACTCGTAGGCGCCGCTGTTGTCGCGAGAGCGCGTGGGCAGCGATGACCACAGCACCCTCGCACGCGCTGCTGGGCAGAGTGCTTCGTGGGTGTCGTTCGTCTGTGGAGCGGAGTGAATCGATAGATCGCTTCCCCACGCACGTCTCCCAGGGATGACGATGACGTCGCCCCCTTTTGGATGGAATTGGCACAAAAGCGTCGCCACTTGTCGTAGCCAGAGGTTCTGTGTTGGGTCCGGGGAATGATGGCTTTTCGTTTTTGGCATGTTTTGGCAACTTTGAAGACTGATGCCCCACATTTTTGATGGCCCCCAACCCCTAGAAAGTCACACTTCTGAGATTGGGCACTTCCATGTTTTTCACTCTAGGTGCAAGGCCTCAATGCGTCGAACCACCAAAGGCACTGAACTTGAACCAAGAGTTGCAACATCATATTCCACAGGTTTCTACAGCATAAATAGGGGCTTCCCTTTTTTTCTCTCCAGCAACTCATTTCATCTCCAGAAACTCTTACGCTTCAGAACACCCTGCCCCTCACAGTTCCGGGTGCCCCTCACCATGGTGCAAGCTCCCACAGCACACCCTCCAAGGGGGCCGAGAATTCTCCTCTTCGGATGAAGACATTCCCCTTAAGGCCTCTCTGGTGCTCGGCACGACCGACCAGCGGATTCGGGCCCGCTCCGAGGCTGGGTGTTATTCTTTTTTTTGGACGTGACCGGAAGAACAGGGTATCTTTTTCGATTGGAAAGGGAAGTGCTCCGTAGCTTAGAGACATAGACTAGATGGGTTGATCAAGGACACTTCCAAATGAAGTTGTTTCAGATGTGGTACGTTTTCAGGTTTCAGTCTCAAAACTTTCAAGCTGGTATAACTGATTAATATAATCATACTCATGCATGGATAATTAGCATGCAAGCGTACTATCCATTCCGCCTCGCTGTCGTGCAAGAGGGTTGTTGAAGGCAGCAGGCCTCACATGTTTCTTTTTCTTAAGCTGACCTGTGGTTGAGTTTGGGAAGACAAGAGCTTTGGTGCCACTTCAGCGATTATTGGATGGAGAGGTCTCATCTCTACAAGGGTGGAGGGTACATGCCAGCATTTCAAGGGTTCCTGGTTGGGTTCCTGGTTGGCACCAATCTTAAATCAGGTCACAGACCATGATCTGGATTACATGCTTTCCCTTCACTCTGCAGAAAACAACTGGATCGGTGTCAGGTTGGCCCTGAGAGAAAGACATCGGTCTCAGAGGCTGGCAGAACGGTGGGCTGCGGTTTTTGCAGCAACCCAACAGGTGAGCGGTGGGGAAGGAGGTTTTTGGCTGGGGGTGGCAAAGCTGGTTCTAGTGCATTCTGAGTGATGTCAAGTCCAATTACTGTATGTAGCTTTCCTAACTCGCCAGATCCTCTTTCTTGCACCTTACCCAAGGAGTCTTCCTTTCCTCTCCAATTTGAGACCCGATTGTATCGTCATGGTGCTGGGTCAGAAGCTGCGGCAGAAGCCAAGCTTAGGGACACCGCAATTCAATCAAGTAGACTAAGGATCGACCAATCAACGCAGATGTACCAGACCAACTGCAGTCGGACGACAACCATACCTGGACGTGGGGGAAAGAGTCCGGATCCAAACTGTTTTGCCATGTTTTGCCCATCTTTCAAAGCCTCCTCGTTCCCTTCGTCCAGCCCCAAAAATACCCCGCAGCTCGCTGCGCTCGCTGCGCTCGCTGCTTCAAGCGTCGTGTGCCCCATCCCCTGGACCGCACCTTCTGGAGCGAGAGATCAGGAGACCTCAGCCGGCTTCGGCTCTTCCTCAGTGCCCATTACCCGATGCCCTGGGCCCTCCGGGAGCGCGGCACGAGCGCGGCACGTACCGCGGCACGTACCGCGGCACGGACGTGTGACGCTGGGGGGTGCCGGGGCGTCCGGAACAGGTCGGTGCTATCATACTGCATCATGCTGCAGAGCTTTAGTGGATGTGAAGTCAGAAGCCTTTTGCTTGTGACTCTACAGTAGGCTTTGTTCCTCCAACCTGTTGTGGATCCAGAAAATAATTTTACTTTTGACCTGAGTCTGAAGTTCAAACATAAGTTTCAGTAGTCAACTGCAAAAGGAATCCAACGGTTGATGTGGTGAATTTTCGGCAGCTCAATCGATGTGGCGATTTTCATCGATTCGTGTTGTTCCCTTAGTTCCTTCATTTTTTCCAAACTGAGCTAGGTGTGCAGTGTTGTGCAGGAGACCTTGGGGAAGAAAAAAAATTCGAAAAGCATCTCACGAAGAAGCACCACGCCAACAGGGACATTTCCTGGAATTCTCTTGAAACCCGTGGTGCGGAGGAGATGCTATTCGGTGGCGGTCCACCAAAGCATCGGAGACAGGTGGGGCGGGCCGTGGGTGGGGGGCACCGGAGGGGTTTCCACCCCGCTCAAAGGAGTTCCTGGCTACCTGGGGTTCCGCGTTTTGTGTGTTTGATCGTTTTGCTGCGTGCTTTGTGGGTTCCTGCCGGTTCAACGGAAAAAAACAAAAACGTGATTTTACATGGAGATTTACCTTTTTTAACTAATCTTATATTGGGCAACCAGGACCGATGATTCTGAGGGATTTTACCAACTCCCCACCAGTCCACGACTTGGGAGTGGGAGATGATGGGCAATGCCGAACCTTCGGGGAGATGGAGAGTGGATAAGCCACTTGGCTTGCTTTTGAAGGAAGAGTGGTTGAAGGCATGTCACACTTGCAGATCTTATGAGGGCTTTCTTCTACATGCTTCAGCCTTTCTATCTATCATTTTTTTGTTCTTTATACATCTTTTTACCAGGTGGTACTGGACTTCCATCCAGTCGGCCGAAACACTCGCTCGCGCCTGTCCAGGAAGACGCAGGAAGACCGCTACACCTTAGTCCGGACGCCGAGTCCCGAGTCGCTCCGTCCCGCGTCCCGGGTCGTGTCGTGTCGTGCACGGGTCGATGGACATGACCAGGCGCCTCCAACCACATCGACAAGTAGAGTACTCCCCTGCAGATTGATGAGTGAATGGAACCCCCCCAAAACCACTGTGTAGCTGGGAAGGAACATGAAGGGGACAGACCAGGTAAGACCGTCGTGAACTTCCTCGGGTCCCAAGGGAGTGAACATCGACACGGCAAGTTTTCGGACGCGGAAGAACGAGGCGTTCCGAACGTTCGGAGACGACGAATCTCATGTTTTCAGTGGTGGAACCAGTGAAACCCCAGTGGCGTGTGACTTTTCGATGTCATTGCAATGGGTGCATGATGGCAAACCGCGGAGCCCCAAGGTGAGCTCTGGTTAAAGGAAACTAAGTAGACCGAAAATTCCATTTGGGCCAAGGAGGTTTCCTTATTCACCCTATTCCAAGACATTCCTTGCAGCGGGGGGTTGTCATTAAAGCACCTCCCACCTGTGCAGTGCAATGCTTCCCGGCCGCGAGGTGCCCCGCCTAGATCCCAGTCTGGATGTAGCGAACTCCTTCTTCGGGCGCGGGGCAGAGTCTGACAAAGCTGGGAGAAGAGTGTGAGAAAACTAGTAATGCCCTTGTTACTACTAGTAAGGTGCCTTGTTACTAGTAGATCTAATAGCTTCTTGTTACTAGTAGTAATGCCAGGAGCTACTAGTAGCTTCTTGTTACTAGTGGACGGGCTCGTGGAGCACTGTAGGTGTTTGGTGTGGTTTTGATAGGGAGGCTTTTGAACCGGTTTCGGTTGATATTTCCTCTTCCCAGATTGCACAGGGGGTCTTCTATTTCAAGACATACCTGCACGTCAAGGCACATAAAAGCAAGTTAAGACACCACTTTGATCTTGGTGCCACTAGCATAGAGCCACGGGGCGCAAAAAAGGCTTGGAAGCCGGCGAAGCGAACCTCCTTGAATATCGAAACCCCGGAATTGGACGAAGCCACTCGTTGACGACCCCGGAATTGGTCGATTCACCGAGTTGAAGTGCTTGGCATGTTTCTTTTTGGCCACGACTCGATGAGACGACCACGAAAAAGAAGATACATTGAGGTTTTGGATGGTGGTGGTCGAGCTCGGAATGACCTCGTTGGGTCATGAGTCAATTCAACATACTACCTCACCACTGCCGCAGTGCTGGAATGGTCCAAAAGGTGCACACTGGTTGGGTGCTCCAATTCTGTGCCCGTGGGTTGGGTCAGCCACCGAATTCTCGCCAGTGTCTTCGATGGCACCGTGGGCGACTTTGCTTCCCACACTGTCAAGGAGTGGCCGACGTCAACTGCAGGCCACTCCTCAGGCCACTTCGCAAGAGCTGCTCGAGTCTACTGGATTCTTGGTTGAAGGCCATTTTCAACTTGTTCAAGCTCAAGGTATTCAGGCCTCTTTGTTTTGCACTTCTTTTGAACGCATGCCCTACAGTGCCTACGGACAGGTCCAGTCTGACCCAGTGAAACCTGGTCCTGAGCACCTCATTGAGTAGGGTTTCTGTATGATCAACTCCAGCAAAATGAGCTCGTTCACTGACCTGTAACACTGTAGAGATGTTTTTTGAAGACACTCTCCAGGATTTGGTCGTCCCGAAGCTCTTGGAGTCACCCCATTGGAAGGCCGGGGCGAGTCATCCCCATCCCAGGGCTAGAAGCCTGAACCTCTGAAGCTGCAAGTGGCGTTGTATTTGAATCTTTTTCTTCCAATCCACTGGGGTGAGCGGATGCCGCCCGCACGGATACTTGTGCCCTCGGAGCCGGGACGAAGCGAAGTCCACCAGGATGAAAGGAAGTAAGAAAGAAATGGAGGGGCGTTTTTTTTCTTTTATTTTTTTCAGTTGTTTTTTGGAATCTGCTTTTGCTGCGTTTCTGCTTCTGCTGCTTTTTTGCTTTTGTTGCTTTTCTGCTTTTGCTTTTCTGCTTCTGCTGCTTTTGTTGCTTTTCTGCTTTTGCTGCTTTTCTGCTTCTGCTGTTTTCTGCTTTTTGTGTTTTTGTCTTTCTGCTCTTTGCTTTTGTTGCTTTTCTGCTTTGGCAGCTGTTCTCCTTTCACTTTTTGTTTCTGCTTTTCCATTTGTTTGCTTTCTAACCTTTGGATCTGGTGTGCTGCTGGGGGGGG